TCATTCCTTAATCCTTTCATCCACTTGTTTATCCATTCATTCATTCGTTCGTTCATTCATTCGTTCATTTAATCATTCATTCATTCAATCGCTATTTCAATTTTCAGTTTTTTATTCTTTTATTCATTCATTCATTCATTCATTCATTTCTTTATTCCTTCATTCATCCGTCCACCCATCCATTCATCATTCCATGAAATTGCCTCCGAATGATGATTTATCATCATCCCCCTCATCATTGCAATCAATTTTGTCATCCTCATCAAAGCTATCTGTAATTTCAACGCAACTACCACCGCTACTACAACCACCACCGCCACTACCACTACTACTACTACTACTGCTACCACTACTGCTGCTACTACTACTACTACTGCTACTACTACTACTTTTATTCTTCTACCACTGTCACAATAACTTACTACTACTTCTACTGAAGCTGCTACTACTAATACTTCTGCTGTGGCCACTGCTTCTACCACCACTACTACATTCACAACTACCTCTACTAGTACTGCTACTACTACTACTACTACTACTACTACTACTACTACTACTGCTGCTGCTGCTGGAACTACTACTACTATAACAACTACCAGAGCGGTTAATATCGAAGTCTACAACCGACATTGTACCAGCGATACTTTTTCGGTATTGGCTTTTGTATAGGATACCGATCCTGATGGCGACCGATACTTTGTAGACGAAATTTAATTGATTGATACTCGGATACCCACACTCTTGAACTTCAAGTGGGTTTATTCTTTTTTTTTGATTTTACCAAAAAATATATGGAAAAAGTTTACTTGGTGTAGCATTTATTTATTGTGCCAGCAACAAGTTTTAAGAAGGAGGTTACTTTTCAACTAATAAACAACTGTATAATAATGAAAAAAAAAACATTAATAAGAATGATAACGATTGCAATTATTTAAATGCAACAACAATAACAATTATTAGCATCCATAAAAAAACAATTGGTTAAATAATGTAACTAAACCAACTATATCCAACTGTATCATACTGTATCTAAATATATCCAACTGTATCATACTGTATCTAAATATATCCAACTGTATCAAACTTTATCCAAATATATCCAAATGTATCCATCTGCATCCATCTGTATCCAACTATATCCAACTGTATCCATCTGTATCCAACTGTATCAAACTGTATCCATATAATCCAACCAGATGATACTATATCGAACTATATTCAAATTATCCAACCATATCCATCCACTATGCAACTAAGGAGGACCACATATAACTAGCTATACATCCAAAAATCTCCAAACAGCGGACGGTAGACGAGGTTGAAAAAATGTACCATTAGGAAGAATTACGGAATTCTGAAAAATAGGAGTAATGTGTTTCCTCTGAGGTTAGTTGGAGCATTTGTACTGTTATAAAAAAAGTAAACTACACTCTCCCTTAGGCAAAATTTCCAGTGGTGTCATGGATGAATGTGAAAGAACTTTTAACCATGAAACACAACAGAGCTAGAAATTCTTATCAGTATTTGTATTATTAGTTATTCTTATTCTGTTGTTAAAGTATTTATTATTATTATTAATATTATTATAATTATTTGTATTATTATTATTATTTTCCTTCTTCGTGTAGCATATCGGCATCGGTACTGTTTACCTTTATCTGAAAACGTCATTTGAAAAGCTTGATTAAATTTAATTAAATGAACGTTTTACACTTAATTAATTAATTAAAATGGATTAATTGTTTAATTGTTATTTGTTTATTTATTTAATTATTTGTAAATTATTTCATTCTGAAGTTATCCACAGTCGTCATCAACCTTGAAATTTATTCTCAACTTGTCATCTTGCTCCTTTAATAGTTTCACGCCTGTAGCTTTTAGTTTAACCTGAAAAGATAAGAGGAAAATAATTCTGTGAAGATTTTTAATATAAATTAACGTAATAAAACGTATTATGATTAGAATTGATTAATAATATTTTATTTATTAATTATTTTTTCAATCTATCTATCAATCCATTCATTCATTCGTCAGTTCATCAATTCGTTCATTTATTTCTCAGTCATTCATAAATTCACACATCTATTTAATCATTCAGTCATTGTTTCTTCACTCGTTTATTTAATCATCCATTCATTCATTCATTCATTCATTCACCCATCCATACATTGATTCATCTATCCATCTTTTTTTCTATTATCCATTCATTCATCCATATATATCCATCCATCCATTCATTTATCCAGCCATCATTTATTTATTTCTTACATCAAAATCAACTTTGAACTCCGCATCGTTCACTCCTTTCAATTCAGAATCCATTTTTCGGGTTCGATTGAGAAACTCCCCACCATCTGAGGGGTTGATCAAGGTAGTTTCGCCAGACTTACCATCAACATTTTGGCTGATGTGATCCCTGCAAAATGGGTGTCGCCATGTGATGGTCGCAGGTATAGTATCTATGCTTGCTTCAGAATTTGTATCCAGGTTATCTGTGGTATCTGCGGTGTTTACGACATAATATTTTTGAATGTATGTATGTGTCTTATGTATGGTTTCTTTATAGAAGTATATAGATACTTTTTGACAATGATTTTTGACAATGTAGTTATTTTAACAATCTTGGTTTTTGTTTTCAAGAAGTCAATAAAAGAATATTTTACCAGCAATTATTATTAATTAGTACTTTAGATCATTCATCCATTCTGCCTATTCAATATCACTTTGTTGACTAACTTTTCGTGCTGGATTTAATCAGACTTGTAGATCTACTAGCAGCAGTTGTAGTAGCAGTGGTAGCAATTGTAGAAGTGGATGTTCCTGCACTTTCAAAAATTGGCATGTCAATTTTAACGGACCCATAGTAGCCATAATGATTGTTTCTATTATTTT